CAAAGGATCCACCCGCCCGCCCACATTTCGTACCCGGTTTTGACAAGTTCTGCGCTTCCACGCATGCGCAGAATGCATACAGCGCCTGCGCGATCCTCCAGGAGCAGCTGGAGCATCACACAGGCGCTAGTACACATGCATGCACTGCGCACATGCACGAGGATGCCGCCGGCCCCGTTCCAACTGAGCCGGTTGGAACGGGGCGAGAAACCCACCCCTGCTCCAAACAGAAGTGAGCCATTTCTATGTTGGGGAAAATCTACCTGTTCTGGCCTTGGGGGTTACAATCTAGCCTTCACAGCAGGCTGCCACGACTTGGACCAGCACTTCTTAAAATGTGGGTCAAAGGGTCCACAAAGTCATAGAAATAAATATTTTAATATTTCTCAGGTTCCATTCCTAATGCTGTACATATCAATAAATATCACCCAGATAAATCAAAGCTCAGTCATTTTTAGAATGTGATGAGTCCTGAGACCAACTTGTTTGGGAAATATTTGCCTAGACAGTTCCAAAATGGCATTGCCTGCAGCTTAAAAGACAAACAAGTCATTATCAAAATATAATGGTGGAAGAAATGCCAGGTTGATAGAATAAAACATAAAAATTGCACCAGTGTTTTGTGTACAGTAAATATGTCCAAACTGCAAACCTAGCATTGTAGAGGTGGTAGGGTGATCATGGTGAGGTCAAACTGCATTCCCAGATTTGCCAGGAAACCCTTCCTCCCAAATCAGGCTCATCCTTACACACTAAATCAACTCTAACTAAAACTTTGTTAAAGATGGCAGTACAAAGTTTTTTTTTAATACCTGTTGTTAAGTAGAGACCTGGGTAAACTTAAACCAGTAAGAACTGTAAAACATAAACCCTACTAATAAATGAAATATATCCCATGGAGAGGTTTTCCTATAATGGCTTATCATATTTCTATGAATATTTGGGAAATGATGCCCAAAAGGAGCCACAAAATATTGAAATCAGTCAATTGGTGTACCTGGGTTCCTCGTCAAGAGATAACCTACTTCTGGTTGGCCAAAAGCTATGCTGAGAGTTTTTTTGAAGGCCACGAATTGGAAACAGTACCGATTTGGTGACTCATATCAGTTAAAGGCACAGCTAGATCTAAAATCAGAGACAGAGATAGAGAGGTGTAGAAATAGGCAATGCTTCAATTTCCATTCCTTTCCTGGACTTTTTTCCAGGGTTGGTGGTGAGAAGTTTCCTTTCTATTTTAAAACTATGTCAAGCTATTTATTGCATGTATGTCTGTATGTCTCATGCCTCAAAATGGCAAGAAACTACATTATAGAATTTCAATAATCTATTGGGACATGCTTGGAGGGCATGCTAAGGAGATTCAGGGACTCATTTCTGCTGTAGAGCAGTGGTCTGGTTATACAACTGTGTCTCAACAGACACTTCCAGGAAAGCCATGAAAATAGTTTCAAGGCAATAATTTTGCTCAGCAACAGGTACAGTGATATTTTGATACTAATCATTAATTGGTTCCAGGAGGCGCACTGAGTACTAAAAATGATGAGCACCAAACAATTTTTTCCCATAAGGAATAATGTAGTGAGTCATAAGACAGCTGACACCGACAGGTTCTAGCCTGTGCATTGAGTACCAAACAAATAATGAATACTGGGACAAATATTCACATCAAAATGCATTGAGTACCAAATTCAATGAGTTTCAAAGCAGTTGAATACCAAGGTACTCCATGTAAAATAAAAGTAGTATGACAGTGAGGTCAAAGACACCTCACAAAGCAGACCCTGACTAACACTAATTGAAACAAATCCTGGGGAAAAGAGGACAATGACCTTAATGCCATGCTTCCCAATCCCTTGAATCAATACAAAAGATGCCAGTAATCTAGAGTGCTCAATGAGAACCAAGAGAGATGCGGTCCACATTTCGTGAGCAAACCATTGGTGATCCAAAAGAGTTGCCAACATCAATCTCAGAGGTATACCAGACTGAAAGAGCTCCAGAAAACTGTACAGTTTTCGCAAGCATCATTCCCTATAATAAATCTTCTCTTCATTGGATACGCTCAAGCAAAGGCTAGACAGCTATAAATCATAAATAATTTAGATTCTTGCAGTGGTGGAATTGGCTTTCGAGTGCTCTGATTCCAAAAAGTGATGTAAAAATGCACACGCATATTTTTGATCCCGTTTCCCCTAAAATAAGACCCAACCGGAAAAACAATCCCTAACATGGTTTTTCAGGATGTTTGTAATATAAGCACTACCACAAAAATAAGCCCCAGTTAAGATTGTCAGCCAGACGCATGCATCTAGTACAGAGGTGGCATTCAACAAGTTCTGACCAGTTCTGGAGAACCGGCAGCAGAAATTTTGAGTAGTTTGGAGAACCGGTGAATACCACCCCTGACTTGCCCTGCCTCAATCTATTCTCTACCTCCTGAGTCCCAGCTGATCAAGAGGAAATGGGAATTTTGCAGTAACCTTCTCCTGGAGTGGGGTGGGAATGGAGATTTTACAGTATCCTTCCCCTGCCACGCCCACAAAGCCATGCCCACCAAGCCATGCCATGCCATGCCCACCAAGCTACAGCCACAGAACTGGTAGTAAAAAAATGTGAATGCCACCACTGATCTAGTACCATATTTCCCAGAAAATAAGACCTAACCAGAAAATAAGACCTAATGTGTCTTTTGGAGCAAAACTTAATAATATAAGACCCAGTCTTATTTTCAGGGAAACATGGGTATTATTTTCATGGAGACTTTAACAGCTACCAAAGTAGTTGAAACAAATGAAACCATAAGTGTTCATGATTTATCCCACATTGTTCAGAGGAGGAAGGTGAAGCAAAGGGAAAGAAGCAATGGCTACCAATGAAATCTCAAGTGCCCCCCTCTAGTGATGGTTTGAAAACGTCTCTGGGCGTGTCAAAACAGGTGTCTCCAGGCAAGTTTGCTTTGCTGTTGAGATGAAGAGCAGGGGGTGCTCCTTCTCTGTTTCACATGCAGAACAGAGCGGAGAGTGGGGTCTACTTTCAAGACCAGCAACAGGTAAATATTCTCTTCACGAGAGGACAATTGACTAATTGAGGCTAATTGGCTCCTTCCTCCAAGGACTTGGTCTTCTTCTTTTCAGCACTTGCAGTTGCCTCATTCTACCTAATGATGAAACTGGCCAGGGCAGCCTCTTTTTCTCTTTCTCTCTCTCTCTCTCTCTCTCTCTCTCTCTCTCTCTCTCTCTCTCTCTCTCTCTCTCTCTCTC